GCTCCACCGAGCCCCGGTCCCGGGACATGTCGCCCGTCAGCAAGGGGTTCAGCACCATCCCCTCCACCGACATCTCCATGTTCACCCTCTCCAGGGATCCCTCCAAGGTCACCATGGGGACGCTGCTCAACTCGGAGCGGGACCACGGTTTTTTACAGGTCCATAACTCCATCCCCAAAGAGTTCAAGGAGTCTTTGCACAACAACCCGGCCAACAGACGAACCACGCCGGTCTGAGGCGGGCAGGGCGTTGGGGCAGGCTGCATGGCGTCATCCTCGTGACGGTGTAACCCGTGGAATCCCGTTTTTAAGGACAAGCCCAGACAGCTCCCCGTGCCCCTACCCGCGGGGCCGGTTTTTCGCTCCCGAAACACCGCTGGCCACGCCAGGCCACTGCGCCCGCGGTGGGACCGGGACCCCCACAGCCTTCCCTTCCCGGCGGGGAGGGGCTGGGGGCTGCGCTGGCCCCCGGCCGTGGTGCCCCTGCAGACTGAGCGGGGTCTCCGTCGCCACGCGGGACGGCGGCTTCCCGAGGTCTCCATCGTTCGTGTTGATCATAACCGCAGTGTTCCCTTAGCTGTATGTCCCGTGGCGATGCCGGCGGTAGCCCTGTCCGTGAGAATCCTTAATCCGGTAGTGACGCTGAAGCGGAATTGCCTGGAAGGCCGGAGTTTGAAGCAGTGAGTCGGTGCCGTGGCGAGTGCTCGCGTTTCGCTGTCGTGACGGATGGAGTGCTCGGGCTGGGTTTCTCTATGGCGTTTCGTGCATGCATTAAATAGCTTGGAATCCCAATTTTGTCATGTTGGGTTGGAAGAAACATCCTTTTGCAATTTTCTGTGGTCTTGAAAGGGCTTCTTTCTCTCCTTCTTTCTTTCCTTTTTTTCTTCCTTTGGTGCATTCAGGCCATGAAAGGACTCAGGAGCAGAATTCCTCCAATGACTGGTAGCAATTAGCCAGCGTTTAATTAACCTCTAATGTTGTAAGAAAACGAATTAATTCCCGAAAATTAATACACGTGCAGTCACAAATTACTTTCTGGGCACAACCAAGGAGGCAACGCGTGACCTGGTGGTACGGAAGGAGGCGGTGGCTGGTGGCCGGGCCGCGGCCGCGTGCGGTGGTGTGTGATTTTGTACCGCTGGGAGGGCGACGAGAAAAATATCAATAAAACCATCCAGTTTGGTGAGCGAGTTACTTGGCTGAACGGGTCGTGCCACCCGTGCTGCGGGCGGCTGGAAAACCACGCGTGGTGTCTTGCCCGTGTTTCAGGGCATCCTTGACCTGTGCCACGGCTGGGGGGGGGTGCCCGGGGTTGGGGCTCTGCGACTGCAGCAG